ATGCGTGTTAGCCCGGTGAAAACAGACGGGTATAAACTGCGCTTCTCAGAGTTCGGCCTGCTGCTTGTCTGATCAGGAGTAGTGCATTGCTTGGACCAACCTTGATCTACGCGAGTAGGTGCCCGTGTCGTGCGGAAGAATTATTCAGAGAGTGTAAGAACGTTGAAATGTGTAAGACGATGAAATTCCGTTGTGCGTCCGCGCAGAATATGTGTTTCTGTTGAGTGAGGAGCTGCGTGGAAAGTATACGAGAACGTTTGCGGTTATTCAGCCTGGCTAGGATGTGCGAGGGCAAAATAAAAGAAACCCTCGAGTGAGTTGGATACTGGTTCATGTATGTCACCATTAAATTTCCCCAGCTTCCCAAGGGCGACAAAATAAACAGTCCCCTCCGCGCTGCCTAAAAGGTGCTGTGCATATTGACATTGGAGGTACACGGCTTGGGGAATATACGGAATTAAGGCTAGCCGAATCTTTCTGTCTCGCGAACCAGGCGAACCACCTCGAGGTAGTAGGGTCTGCACGAGGGCAGGTCTTGATCTACGGGAGAGACAAATTATAACCGCTATCCATTAAACCCAAACTCGACAGTACAATATTTGCTCGAGCACTAATGACGTTCTTAGTGGGTGAGAATTCTATGGCGATGCAACATTTCCAACGTCTATTCGGGCCTCTGCTCGCTAAAACTCGTGCATCCTCAAGCCCAAACCCATTTCCTTCATTTCAATCCACTAATGCATCGGGATTTCCAGACCCTTAAGCTCAGTATGAGCCCTTATTTTTAAAAGGGGGACGAATCCGACTCCGTGCATATATGAAATACTCAAAAGTCTATAGCGGTCGAAACAAAGGCGAATAGACTAAACTGAAACAATAGTGCCGAATTGATTATTCCTGGTACATGACTCGAGCCTATGTAAACACTACTAGCAAAAGTCCGAGACAGAGCTTTGTAGGCCAAATGCATTCACACGCAGCACCTGTGACTTGTAATAGTCAGTGCCTTGAAGGTGCTCGGAAGATTGTGTCAGAACACCTGAAAGAGATACGAGACATTAATGAATTGTTTAGTAAGGCGTGCGTCGACGTCGACACTAGTTCCTTTGGTATTACAGACACTTCCACGAGCTTTGGCTATTTTGTTCGCATCTACCCCAGGAGCACCGAGTACTCATCGATGCTATTCAATACCTAAGAACATTCATGTTCGATAGTATAGATACTCTCGAAGCAGAACACAGTTCACCTTGATATATACGATTGAATTTCCACCTAGGCAGCAAGATTTCACCTGGCAGCAACAACTACAAATTCCTAGTTTCGATATACTCTATAGACGCTGTGAGTATGTATGAAGTTCGACGTGCCCATGACCTCAAGCATCTGGAATTTGATGCCAGACTAATATTAACTAGCGAATCACAGGATACTCCTGTCGTAGAATCAATTGCTCAATCCCGTTCGGCCGGCATGTGCTGGACTGTCTACATTGGCAAGGTCAGCTTTCACCGTCCACAGATATCTCCACCCCAGCTATACCGTCCACTTACCGACCTCTCCAGTGTCGCCACCGAGACCCTCGGCCATGGGGAATCCCAGAATGCAAGTGCAAAGACTACCGTATCCAAAAACTACGCTGTAGATGTAGACCTTGTCGCCGACTGAGCAATACTGGGGGGTTAGATTCCGGAGCTCATCTGGGCATATGGGATATTGATGTATCGACGAACGAGTGGCGTGCACAGTGGGTTATGAATAGTAGAGACAGTCGATATGTGTGCGATTGACGGATTCTCGACATGAGGGTGTAGGCTCGGGACGCATAGTGATCTGGGGTAAACTTGTATTTGGTTGCATCAGTTCTATTCATCAGCACAGTACTCTAGATGTGTGTATTGCTGTATACTGCTGGATAGTAGTTCAGCTTTTATCCAGATGCTTGCTGCGAACGCTGAAATATCGAAACTACACCAGCGTAGACTCTTGATTTCACTTTCCCACAACCAGCATTCACACACACCTCTACTCTATCACCAGCTTTCCAATACCTCCCACAATCTACCATTTTCGTCAATCAGAGATATCCAAAGTCACAACATCGAATACTTGAATATCTTTCAACTGTGCCAATAATGGAAGACAATACTACAAAGCTTCCTGCTGGAGGCAAAGGTATCGATCGAGCACCCACGGCACTACTATAATATCAATAGATGCGCTAACATTCATACTGCGGGAGATACCACAGACAAGTCGCTGAAGCGACAGATCTCCAAAGTGATTCGCCGCATGTCGACCACCGCCAAAGACGGCGTCACCCGCCGCCTCTCCCTCGCCCGTACCAAGACCGTCTCCAAGAAGAAAAAACAGGCAGTCGGCCAGCCAGAGACGGCCCATGCACAGGAGCATGGGCCCTCGAGCCAGCGGCAACCACACGTGGTTTACGACAGCCAGGATGCCCCTGTCCCAGAGGAGGGCGGGGGGACGTCGAGTGCCGCCAACAGCGACGGGCGAAAGAGCATTGACCGGATGGGCGGGAAGACTATCAGACTCATCCCACAGCAATTGAACCCCAAGGAGGATTGAGATGAGTTGTCAGGAGGGTAATGGGTGATGGTGGAGCATCTCTATCAACGATGGGAAACCCTGCTTGCATATATACTTATAATTTTTGCATCCCTTCAATTCTTCACGATTATATTGAACCATAGACACCTCTCATAATCCTGTACGCAAATCGACTTGATTTTCACTTACTCGGACTCGATATTGTTCTTCGTACTTTAACCCTAGCCGCCAATAAAAATCCACTTTCGAAAGTTATAAAGTCTTCGCGATAGATTTTGGAGTGGCGTTTCCCGGATCAATTACTGTATCATTATATATATGGCAGAGATGGATCCCATGACCTATAGCTCTAGGTGACGTAGAACTGCAGACTGTCCTTCACCAAACATATATTTGCGTATGTCTTTCATATGATCAGAGTGTGCCAACATCATGGTTCTTGCATCGACATCGCGCACGTGAAATGCGGGTGCCACTGAAACTGGCAGCTGCCTGTCACAGTAGTACCTGCAGCTGACCAGCATAATCACGACTCAGACAGCATGCATGTTGAATACCGAATATAGAAGATCGTCATTCATTGACAACGTAATACATTATAGCGGCTGCAGTTCAGACAGATACAGACTACATTGCTTGCATCGCGGGTGTATAGGTATGCGTAATATAGCAGAACAGCAATATGAGTAACAAAGTAACGTTATAACAAACTCTACAACATGATATCAATACATTACATGCATGCATGGCTCGTGAAATTCGTTATGGTTACATCTCACTGTCCACCTCATCGATGGTGTGTCCCTGGATAGCGGAGATGACAGAATACGACCGTGACCGCCTGGAAGCCCTACGAGGCGGTGGAGGGGCCGGCGCAGTACCGGCCTGGAATCCCGGCGGCGGCTGGAACGGGTTTGCGTTCTTGCCACCGATGATTGGATGCGAGGGACTGAGCGGGGAGACCTGCATCGGCACGAACATGGGGACGAGGGGTGGAGAGGGAGATGGCGGCGCTGGCTTTACGAACTGGATTCCCACCGTCGGTGGCTTCTCCTCCCTCGGCGGGGCGATCTGCGGCTGGAACTTGTGCGGCGGTGGGATCATGGTCGACCCGTACGCGCCAGTCGGAACCTCGTTCACTCGCGGGGTTGTGTTCACGGCAGCGTAGGCGGGTGGCGGGCTGTTGGAGTCACGGCGAGAGTGCGAGACGGATCGTGTGGTCATGGCGCTGAGGCGGCGCTTCTCGCGGGAGGGGCTCCGGACGAGATGTGGAACTGGACTGTCGGACGTAGTCTCCTTCTCGGCCATCATGTTGAGGACGAGGTCTTCAAAATGCATGTGGGTGTCGATGTCGGAGTAGCGGTACCTGATCGCTCCTGTGTATTTCATTGCATCTGTCAGTCTCTATTTCTATAAAGTTTGTGAGCGGGAGATGGCACATACTGTCGTAGTCTCTGATATGCTCGGCGAGGATTTCAGGTGGTACGCCATTGCGGTCGACCGGTCGCCTCCGCTTCCAGAAGAAGAGGTGTAGTCCACAGCCGAGTCCCATTGCGCTGGTGAAGATTTGAAGCGTCGACGTTGATGGAGTCTTGTTTTTTTTCCCTGCTTCGTCCACGCATTTCATTCGTCAGTCTTTCGCTGTCCATTACATTGCACTCTGAGGCTTCATTCGCCGGGAGTATCTGCTGCAACTTACCGCGCCTTCTCTCGATCTATCGCTCTCTCTCCGCCGACGTTCCTCCGATGACGCTACCGCAGGTCGGTAATTACTTTGTCGACTCGTCCCTGGTACTTTGGCGCAAGTATCGACGCTGCGAGAAGAGATCGGTCAATGTCGAGGCGAGCTAAGTTGACTGACCAATGCGAAGCACAGGCGTCGGAGAGAGATCGAATCGAAGCCATTCCGCCGGGAGTAGCTAAATGAATCCAATGAAAGAATGCTACGTCACGCGTCTCACATACAGCGACGGGGACGCCTTTGCCCTGCGGCCACCTGGTGCATTCAATCAATCGCACTATCGGCGTGTGTCAAGACGACGGCCGACGGACGGACGAACGACCGTTGACGAATAGCTCGAGATACGAACGATATCCACACATGCATAGAAGTACATACGAGATACGTTGCAAAGGGGGCCGCTGAAACCGAACAGATAGCCCCTCCGTCTTGGCGGCCGCGACCCGCTCGAGGAAGCCAGAGATGGCGAGAGACCGCGCTGGTCGGTTCCGTGGAAGCCAGATGGGATGAAGTGCCCGGATGCGGGCCCGCCTGGCGCAAAACCTGGCGGACGGGCTAGCTACAGCTGTCGTTTCTGCGGCCGCGTCGGGAACTCGCAGCCGGCGCTCGCCAGCCCGCCGCGGTCGGCGGTCACGTTTGACGGCTAACCGCTTATAATGTCTTGATGGAACCCGTTGACATCAACTTGGACTGATTGGCGCAACGGTAGCGCGTTCGACTCCAGAGAGCTCGCAGGAGTTCGTGAAATCGAAAGGCTGGGCGTTCGAATCGCTCATCGGTCATTTCTTTTGCTGGCCGTTTGTCTTTTTGCCATATTTTTTTTGGTTTCGTCGGTCGAGTCATTTCCCGCTTTTCGACAGCTGAAGAGCCTGGACACCAATCAGGAAATTCGTCGCGGTGAAACATCCGGACATCCACGCTGATGTGTTGCGCATCTCGACATCTCACAGAACCAACTGCTGACCGCAAAGGGCTGCAGAGGCGTGAATCAGGTCTGCAGTCATGTGGGGCTCCAATATGGACAGTTCAGTCCGCCTGTTCTTCAGCTGAACTGTTGTTCCGACTATTGCGGTGGCTATCTACTGCAGCCCGCAGATCCAGGCACCGGTCCAGAATTTAGCATATGAAATTCATGTGGAAATCATGACCTCCTGCACGCGACACTCTGCAAGGCGGGCATGAAAAAGAGAGGAACCAACAAGCGGCACCTGCATATGTATCTTCCACGACCAGATATTGGCTGGGCAGGGACACTGCAGCGGACAGATAGCACCGGGGAAAATCGCACACCGTTCAATCGGTCGTCTGCGGAGAATATACTTTATACTGGTCGTCGTTGCGGGTAGAGAGAGTAACCCCTTGCAGAGGCAATTCTCACCGCTTGTCAATTTGAGACGCCTGCAGCGACACAGCCTCAAACTTGAGTACAAGATGTAAACATATCGGAAATACTTATTTTCGAATCTGTCAAGTTCTAGTACCTTCATATACCATGCGTTGACAAGTAGCCTTCCATCGAACCATGGTTCAGCGGTGCAAGAGATGCAGTGAAAACTCAGGTCAGGTCCGACTCCCTGTCACCGGTTTCCTGTCTTCTATCAGATTCGGTATACGATGTAATGCTATGGCGGAATAAGAGACGCCCAGATAACTGGTGGCACGTTCGTGAAATCCCAGTACAGCGAAATACGGCGAAAACTGCCACGGTCATAAATCCGAGGCAAAGCGATACCTTAGTGTAAAAGCTTTGGAAGCTGTCTGGTATTGATATCCCCCTCGCCATGCCAATCTGTTGTTGTTCGTATGTGTAACTGACTGAAACTAAAGCCACAAAATCTGCGCGAATAAGCATCGAATTCTTACTCCTTAGTATGTATGTGCGCTGATCGATTTTGTGAAGCCAAATCCCCAAGAATGGCATGCTATAGCTGACCAGCAACTCCCAATACCTACCGGAGATTCGATTTGGCGAAACTCGTCAGGTATCCACCCCGATTTCCGCTATCTGTTTCCCATCTTATTCCTACGCCGTAGCAGATCTCTAATTCCAAATTTTACCACTTCTTCTGCTCCAGATATGAAGTCTTGCTCGAATGCGTTGCTCTGGCATGCTGGCTCCTGTGGAACGTTGAAGACAAGGGTAGTGATCTTTGTGTTGTCTGGTACCAAGCAAGTCTGGGCGGTTCTTTCGATAATATCGATAGGGCAACGCTGAACACACAAATTTGATCAGGGATCTTTAGAAAAAAATATACTTGTAGTTATTTCTTAGTCTTTATTTATATATATAGTGTGATATTAGTTCAAAACTCTCATCGGCACTACAGGTCGAATATTATATTGCCCGTAGCTGATGCGGTACCAGGAACGCTTCTCGCATCGTATGATCACTCCCCTCGCCTGCTCTATACATTGCCGTTCTGATCCACTCTGACTTCGAAGCCTTTCCGATTCATTTTTGTTGTTGCTTCGACCTACGCAGTGACCGAGATTCAACTAGAGCGTGTTAACTTGGCTGAGAGTGTCTCTCGAACGCGCATCTTGTGGTAAACAGAAATATGCCATCGTCCTGATATCGCACTGGTAGATACCCAAGCGGGCAATTCTAGACGGCTGGCTAGCTCTGGGGTGACAGACGCACTGACTAAATTAACGGAACAATAACAATGTCATCTCGGTCATACAAGATAGCCAAATGGCATATTAACGTGAGATCATGATATGCTATGTACTTGTATGTAGCTCGAATGCTGTGGTAGAGCTCGAGGCCTCATGGACTTGAGGCTGGGTAGTACAGTCGGTTAGCATGCATATGCGCATCCATTCTATCCAATCCACAGCCAAATGTTTCGTGTATATCCGGTATCAAAATACCCAAACGATGAACTAGCAGCGGGTTTCGGGTTGGTGGCACAAAATCCAGTAATATACCGTCCGTCCGAGATGGATATGATCAACGTTTGTCGCAGTATTCTCTGATATATTGCTAGAGTATCTTCATGGGGGGGAGGGAGGTCTCGTGGACGTCATCATCTTTGGTCTACCGTTCCGGCTACTAGGGCCCGCCGGCCCCGGTCTCCATCCGGGGTCACCATGAACTGGTCTTTGAAACGACGGCTGGGTGCATCACAGTAAACATAAGCTTGACTTAGGAGTGTGTCAGCACGGTCACTTTGAAGTTGGTCTAGAAAGGCTCAGATAATCGACGTCTTGAGCCAGGCTATCCGCTTTGCATCGACTTTGGCGCCCCTTAGAGCACGCCGCCTCACCGGTTGTACAATTGTGGCACATGGAATGCTCGAAACCAAACTCTCCAGCAACACATGCACAACTAATATTCAATTCTGCGCAGAGCACTAAGATAGTTCCTCATACCGCAATGTTGGTTGTCAAAGCACAATAAAGTGGCGTTTTCTGATATTGATTTGGCAGAGGCTTGCAGGCTAACCTTCTGCTCGGTATGCCATTGCGCTGGGCTATAGTGTATATAACTAATACTAGTGTACGTTGGCGCAGGAGTATAGTAGCGTAGGTGGGTCGTTATATTCCGCGTGTGTGCCTCCAATATAAGGCGTAGCCTACGACTCGCTGTACAGGAGGGAGAATTCTGAGCATCGTCTGGCTAATGTTATCTTTTGTATCGGATCTATATATATTGACGTCCGTGCCTGGAGCACACAATCTTACATGTACAAAAGTTGGGAGGTAGAATTCAGTTTGGACTTTGTCCTGACACCAGCTCGCTGTCCTCGAATGAGAAAAGCCCTGAACACTACTAAAGACCGTCTATGTTCCTCGATCATATCAACAAGGAAGATTCAGAAACGGAAAACTCTCTTGGTGTCACCAATGTGGCTCTTTTATATATATTTGGCGACCGCTGCCTCGGCGGTTAGCGTACTCAGCGTTGCCCCCATCGAGAAAGTTGACCTACTCCCCCAAGCGAAAGACTCTGACTACAGGTCCCTTCAAGGCCCTGGACGGTTGAGCATCCATGAAAAGAGAACGCCTTCGCGTCTCGCGGAACTCGGATGGCCCGGCGCGGCTTCCATTCCAGATTATACCCGAAAAGAGTGGATAACCTGTCTAATATTTCTCGACCCGATGCGGATCCTGGATAAGGAATATGTTCGTGGCGTTTGGTCGAAAATTGTAGAAGGACAATTCTTTGGGGGTTCGCCTATTCCGAAGAACAGTCTATACTTTCCAGCATACGCTAAATGTGGAACGCCGTTCGTCATGGTGAAAGGGTCGTACTCGGCGATAGAAAGCCTGATACTAGACGATCTTGAGGGATCAGTAGGTGTTCTCCTGGCTCAAGTGCCCGATATTTAATATGGGTTAAATGTCGATGCTATGAGGTATCGAAAGGCCAAAAGAGTTTGATAAAATCCCAGGCTGACATGCATATCGATACCACGCAGATTTTGACTTGGCTCGATGTGTCCTTGCAGCCTGACTTATACCGCAGGATGCATCTCGTCGACGAAAAAATCGCCTGGTCTACCAGGGCAGCGGACGGGCAGGGCGGTCCGGCAAATCCGCCTGACAGCGATATTGACGAAGACTGGGACTTTATGGTGACTGGCTCTGAGACGGGGCTATGGCGACCGCGGGGGTCGTTGTCAGTCCGTAGACGTCATGAGCGCGTCCCCGGTCCCACCGACAATCTGGAAGGCATTCCAAAAAATTTCACGGAAGGGCTTCCACATATATACCGGAGAAGAGTGGCGCGAAGCGATGAAATGTCATTCGATGTCAGATGGATGTCCAATCCACCGCCTGCGGGGACAGATTCTTCTGCCGGGAACTTTAGCATGCATGGCGTTCCATGGGATGGATACTACGAGGACTCACAAGGAGAAGGGGTTGATGTATGGGTATTGGATAGTGGCTTTGCTAAATCCACGTCAGGTGACAGTTCACAGCCGCAGATTCACGAGGTGAGCTATTTTTCCGAGTCCACAGGGTTAACTATGACCCGGGCGTGCGGGTTTTGATACAATTCTAACTGCCCTATTTCTCGCGTGGTGGCCATTTGAGATGGCGCCGGTGAGGTCATAGTAAGAAGATCACAGTGCTTCGATGCGGGTCCTCATAATCACCAGCTCAAGCAATGGTTTTTCTCAGCCTGTATTGACTCCGTACGTGAAAGGAATTTGGATTACGCTGACGCAGATGCGGGCGGTCCAAGGAACCATGGGACAAGTATAATCTCAAAAATAGTGGGCAAACACACCGGATTTGCGCGTAAGGCCAATATTGTGATAGCACCAGTGTATATGCATAGTAATGTCGCAGGTCTGAGCCGGCCACGTCTTCAGGGGAATCCTGGGACACGCATAAGTTCTCGTCCCAGCGACATAATCTTGGTTGACTTGCTCTTCGAAATATACAACACAGTTGTACGGCGAACAGCGAAAAATCCGAAATACAGAGCGATAATTAACCTCTCGGTATCGCCGTTGTTCTTTCGTCGCAGCGCTGAGCTATCGAGGTATACGATAAATTTGTCGCCCGTCGAGAAGAGGTGGGTACAAGCCCTCTCGGATCTAGGGTCGTATGCTATGAGACTTCTAGGCACATTGCAGAACGTGATCGTTGTGACAGGCATTGGGATGCAAGCAAAGGTAGTACTTTAACATCATCTATCTGCAATGCCGTGACGATTGGCTGACGAATCCAGGGGGTTCCGACCACGTTTCCTGCGAAGCTCGCGGGCAGCGGGCAGGTGCAGAATTTGGTAGTTGTGCATGGTGTAGATAGCGACGGCCGAGCATTC